GGAAGGGGGAGGGGCAGACAGACCTGCACAGAAACCAGGGGGCCCTTTATGGACACGAGGGGGGGGCTAAAGCATCGGAGGGGGCCTTCCATCTCAGACACCAGGGGGGCAAGCCTGCATGGAAGGGGAGGGGCGGACAGACCTGCACAGAAACTGGGAGGGGCCCTTATGGACACAAAGGCAGGCCTGTTAGGACTGACTCACCCCGTCTCTCCCTTTGCTCCCATCCATGAGCTATTATCAAAAGTGAAGTGTGGCATAAAGATTTGTTTCATTATCAGGGAGGGCAGTGCGCCCCCTGCAGGGCTCCCCGAGCAGGACAGGCAGGCATCCGCTGATCTGTGCACTAATCAAAAACAGGGGGTCTGTCGGAGGTCTGGTCCTCCGCAGTGAAATGTTCTTCCATGGACATCAGCCCTAACAATGTGGCGAGCCAAGTATGAAAATAAAGAACTATGTTAACTAGACAGACTGTGAGCTTAATAAAAGGCAAAATCCCTTTAAATAGGTTACATCATAGAAGTCACATGCATACTTTCATTGGCAACAGACACAAAAATAGGAGAGCCTTCATCACCCCCTCCCACACTGCCGACTCGTTAAGCGCAGACCGCTGCAGCTGGGAGAGACCTCCATTCAGCACAACTGGGGAGCGAGAGACAGCCGTGAATTACGCAACAAACCAGTCCGGCTACGTCTGTCCGCGGAAACGGAAGGAGAGCTGTTGTCTCACAAGATAAGTCACGGGATGCTCTTCTCCATGCATCCGCACTGGTAAGAGCGGGATTACAAAGGTATGAAGCTCAATCGCATCACAAGGATTTCGATATTATGTTAGTCTTTAGAACCTATAGCATTCTTTCCCTCTATCCCTTTTCCCTGTTTCATAAACCATTTTGCACAAATTAGCCAATAATGGATTTCCACAGACTCATTACTTCCCTGAGGTCCTCCAATCACCTCTTTTTGGCCGTTCCACACACCCAGTTGAAGACCAAAGGTGATTGCGCTTTTGCGGTTACCGTGCCAACCTGGTGGAAAAGCCTGCCAATGTACATGAGATCTGCACATTCACTCTGTACTTTTAAATCAAGACTGAAATCGGACTTTTATTTGAAGCAGATAATAAACTGTGATGAAACTATTTTTCTATTTTTAGCATTAATGTGTTTCTTTTTTCTCTTTCTGATGTGTTCTTGTATATCTACTGATGTATTGTACAGCACTTTGGTTAACACTTTGGTTTTATATACTTTATAAATACACTTGACTTGTGAAAGGTGCTATATAAAAATGAAATCGACTTGAATGGAATAATATTATTGACTTGTCTCATAATTGGCAGTTGGCATTTGTTAGGCAACAAAAGCCGCACAAGTCTGATTTTAATTCAGCTGCTGCAGCGTGGAGAGTAAGGAGTGGAGGAGTGGTGAAAGAGAGGGAGTGAGAGAGAGAGGAAGAGAAGAAAAAGACAGAGAGAGGGAGAATAATACAGGGAGGAAAGGAGGGAGGGAGGAAGGTGTGCAGGGAGAGTCAGCAGAGTACAAATGAGGCCTGAAGCATACTCAGGTGTTCTGCAGTGTTTACTCTCCAGAGAGCAGTGCACGATGCACAGCAGGGCAGGTCCTGCTGACTGCACTGTCTCCGCCAAGCAGCTACTGGCAGGAGGAGGTGCACTGGGGGGGAGGTGCAGTGGGGGGGAGCGCGGGCTTAAAGGTCAAACTTATCTGCAGGTCAGTACAAGCAACAGCAGAGCAATCGACAGGAGGGAGAAATTGGGTTGGGGGGTGGGGCGCTGATGCTGCAAAAGACAACGAGATAATTGGACCCTCTGCTGATTAGCAAAAATTAACCTCTCCGTCTTTACCCGTTAAACACTAATCCGAGAAGAAGGAAGGGGTGAGATGGCTAATCAAGATTGTGGGCATCTGCTATATAGTAACAGTGCATAAATACTGCGAGGCAGCTTCCAACAGCAGCCAATTCCACTCTAGTATGAGGATACAGGCTAAATTGCACACAGAAGCTTAGCTTAGCATTGTTTAGCATCCTCCACTATGGCTGCACAGCTGCTCAGTCTTAGAGATGAGTGACCCGAACCCCAGAGACAGCTGCCCACAAGGACCTGAGATGGAGCTGCAGACCAGGCCGACGGTAAGCAGATGACGGGAGGCAGAGTAGCACTGTGGTGGGGGGTAACCCCCCCTTAAGCTCCCCCAAATCTGTTGCTCTTGGCAGAACTTGCAGGGATAAGCCGGGATTTCCCAAGGCCTGACGCGAGCAAATCCGCCAGTTCACAGCGTCACGCTGTCATCACCGACGCGCCCGTCACCGTCTCCTCTCCTCCTCACGCCGTCCGCGTCGCCGGCTGTGACACTCACCCCTAATTTCCTGCTGCGCATGCGTACATAGCCCTGCTTGACGATGTCGTTGAAGTTGGAGGCCATCTCTGCGAGAGCCGGTGGGGCCGGCCGGCAGGGAGGTCATCCAGTCCCTCTGTCCGATGCGAGGTCGTCCCAACCCGGCCCCTCCTGTCGCCGCGGGGGTCCTCGATTTTGCTTCTCTTCTCCTCAACCGCTTCCAGCCACCAAAACGTCTTCTACTCTCTCTCCATGGCTATACTTCAGGCTCTCTGGACGGGAGAAAAATGAAGAAATAAAACCATTATTCAAAAAGGAAGGCGGGAGAGAGGCTGATAAAACCCCCCCCAGGATATTTCACCACGCTATTTATTTTCCATACAGACAGCCTTAACCCTCCCTGGAAATGTTGCAAGGTCAGCTACTAGCATGCAGATTTCCCAGTTCGAGGACAGGGCTGGTCACTAATTGAGATATTCAGAACTCACTTCACGGGCAAAAACAAGGCTTTCAGGGTTTCGCTGTAGCTCCAAAGCAGGGGTGTGGCTGTGGTTGGAGGGTAGACAATGCCCACCCAATGGACTGCACCCCCCACCCCCACTACAGTCGACAAATGCCCACCAGGCAACCCTGCAAGACCTCCGAAACAAACTGAGCACTGGTTCTCTCCCAACACACCCAACTGCCCACACCAGTTTGACATCCTGGTAACTCCACTGCTCCGAAGCAGCTTCAATGGGGACGCCGAGTTTGTGTGCGTCATAAACCAAGCAACGTACATTTGGGAACGTCGGTGATCAGCTAAGAGTAAGTAACCCACAAGCAGGCCGCCAAAATGGCGGGAGATTTCACAAGATTAGAACAGGAAGAAATGACCGTTATATACCCACCATACCGTTTTGAAAATCACCTTAATGCAAGAACAGGGCCCAAGACTGTAGCCCAATGACCTTCTGAACATTAGATTTTTCGTAAATCATTCTGACAGAAGCCTGAAATAATAGCCTGTCATACATGTCATATGAAGAACGTCAATGCTGAAATGAGACATCAGTACCTTGCATGACCTCTCCTTCCCAGGGAATCCATCATCGAGACATCAGCCTTGCTTCATAACACACATCGTTCTTAACACATCACACGCCTGTCCAATGTGTCACGCGTGTGAAAGTCAGCAGGTGGCCCAGGGTTACTCCACAACCGAAGATCTCCAGCTGCCCGACTTTCCCCTTGACCTGACCTGACCTGACCTGACCGCCTTAGCAAACCGTTTCCTGGTGGCCTTGCTCAACCTAAGTGACGTCAGAGAGGGAAACGAGTGCAGCCTCACCATTATGGGTCTCAATGACACAGACACATCACTGGAATGTTAATTATGGGTTTTCGGCCTCGTCACATGACCCACCCTGCAGCCAGAGCAGTGGAATGGCACAAAGCCTTCGCTTAGTTAGATTGCCACGCAGAGTGAGGCGAGAGTCTAGGACGTCTAAAAACAAATTGCTTTCGAGATGGAGAGGAGAGTGAGAGCGAAATGCACTTATCAACAGAGATCCTCTCATCCTTTCTGTTCGGGCCCCTGAAGGGAGAGGAGGAAAGTGATTGATGAGGTGAAGCAGGGGCACACAATGTGATATGCATACGGGCCCCAACCCAAACACAAAAAAACAGAAAAAGGAGAGAAGATTCCAGCTCAGAAGCCTTCAGATCCATCTATTCAGGAGCAGTTCCTGTGTTCCACCTGACCGTTTTATGATCAATAAGCATTAGATGTTGCCTTTCAAAGACAGTGAATGAATGATTCATTTACATGCTTCGCATTCAGTCGTAATCATTCGCGTAAATGGACATGGGGAAAAAACACCCATTCACCCTTGATATTCCACAACTGTCCCCTGTCTAATATCACAGAGCTGTGTTAAATATCTAAATGGAGGATTAAAGGATTGGGCCCAAGTGCAATTATCCACGTTTATCTGGTGTCGAGACATTCAAGGGAACTGAGAACAAGGTGCCAGAACATTAATAAACCAAGGTGGTTTACAAAAAAAAACCTTTTGAACCAAGGTTATTATTGTCAACAGAAAGGCATACAAACAGTGACCGTGCAAAAAGCGATTTATTATTAGTTAATACTGAACTAAAGCAAAGCTCGTGGTTAGACTGGGACCTATCCCAGAATGCACAGGGCATGAGTAGGCAGGATGCCTGGGATGGACAATATCGCAGTCCTTCAAAAGGTATGAACACAGAACATGCAGGGTATTTCAGAGGCACTAATCTGCCTAAATCACAGGCTTTTGCACTGTGGGAGGTAACCAGAGAAGGAGAGGAAACCCATATGTGCAGACTGTACACAGGCGGAGTGTGGAGCAGGAGGCCAAAGCCACATCCCTGGAGATGTGAGGCCACAGTGTAGGCCACTGAAGCACTGCATCCAGAAGATGAACGCTTATCTATTAACCCAACTAAATCGTCGCATTTTAAAACAGGCACTACTGAAAACCTAAGCATGTTGTCTTGGCTTCAGAACAGCAGCATTTTGACAACAACGGCAATGCAAATTGCTGCAGTACGAAACTATTATTAAGCCACATCTACTGGCGTCGGGCTAAATGAGCAGAATTCTGTAAATTTAACAACCTACCTGTTAGCATGAGGTTAATTACACAGAAGAGTACATAAATAATACAGGAATTAAATAGAATTGAAATTAAAAGACTAGTTAAATCAATATTTAAAACGAAGAAACAAATAAAAACTATATTACAGTTAAAATATAAAAAATGTAAAATAACACAACCATATATAATGAGATTCCTGTAGGGAAGGGCCAGACCATGTCTGACACCTGGCCATGTGATTGGTTGATTAGATAATTGCATTAATGAGAAATTGAACAGGTGTTCCTAATAATCCTTTAGGTGAGTGTATAATGAGATTCCTGTAGGGAAGGTCCAGACCATGTCTGACACCTGGCCGTGTGGCTCAAACGTCAAAGTTCAATGGTTTGCCAGCATAACTAACCCATCAGAAATAGTTCCCCAGCCACAGTCAGAGAGTCTGCAAGTTCTCCTCTTACAAAAAGGCACATGGCCCCACGGGCTGCACCTTTCACAGAAAAGGGAGGGGGTAGTTCCTGTCCTCCTCCCACCATCCATTTTTTATCAGATATTCCCTCTAGATGCAACTGTCCTGTGCATCACATTTCCACACCAAATGGCTAAATGTAATATCTGTTTCCATTACAGCCAGTGATGCAGGGAAGCAGGGGAGTCTGAGTTTTCCGTGCACAGCATGTCTGGACAGCTATTACAGAGAAGAAGACAATGCAGAAGGGAAGAGCCACCCCCATCTGCGGCTAGGTGTGTGACTTAGAGGGTTAGCTTGCCATGCTTGTGGTCGGAAGGTCATTGGTTCAAAGCCCAGGGGCAGTGGAGTGATGTCACTGTTGGGCCCTTGAGCAAGGCCCTTAACCCCCCAATTGCTCAGTGGACTGACTGGCCCTGTTTTCTCAAAGAACGGATGTAGCTCTGGATAAAAGCATCTACTATATAAATAAAATGTGCCTGTCGGCCTGCAGAAAGTCCTGCATTTGATTGATCTCCCACAGTTAAGAGTCACATGCTCACGATCTCGCCGCACCTCCCTCTTTGCAGACCTGACTTAGTGTAAAAGGGTTTCACTAAAGCCAGTGCACAAGACTGTCTGAGGGACACGCTGTGCCAGTGGTGCCTCATCTCTGTCAGGAACATGTTGTGATGCCTGTGATGGCTGCAGTTTCTTGGTTGATAGACCAAAGCTGATTCTAGCCCATTTCTAACAGCCAGTGTCAAATGTCACCATCCACCTAACTGGCCTGCTTGAGGTGGATTTGAGGGCCAATATAAGTTCTAAGGTTTTTAAGACGGCGGCATAAAGGGACCATAATTCATACAGAGGGCCGAACCTTATCATTGGCCAATATTTGAGTCAGTGAGTGAGACGGGGACCAATCAACTGTCACCTGGGGCCCGTGTCTCTGTGGCCCCACCCCTGTATTTGCCCCGGGCGAGGCGAACGTCTCTCTGGTGGTCCCTAGCCTCCTAGGCCGCTATCTATACCTGTGGGTGATCCAACGCATGTTCAAATCCTGCCTGTGGGCCAATAACAAATGAAAGGCCCCATATCCAGGCTCCACGGGAATCAGCAGCACAGCAGGTGATCTCACAGAGAGCGGGAGCAAATTGGCCGACTCGGCATTGCCGGGTGCCTGGGAAATCGCACGTCAGGTGGGGTCCCCCGCCACCCCACCACGGCAGAGTGCAAGCCATCCACCCCCCCTCATTTCCAAGTGAAAAGAGGGAACTACAGGCGTGCGGTCGATCGTCAGTTTTAGGTCAATTTCATGAGTCACTTCACACTAATTCCCCAGGAGTGGGGGAGGGGGGGTGAAATCTAGGGGCTGATGTGAGCACAGCGGACACAGCAGTAGAGTGAGTCCATGTTCTTAACCTTGTGGGCGCAATTTTGGGAGAAATATCACAACATCCCCATAGGGACAGCATACCTTGAAAAATCAGACCTTATGAGGTCATCCACACAAGCTGAAATGTCTTTTTTTAAACACGGTCCACGCAAAAAATCTAAACTTCTTTTTTTTGCTTGGTACCTACTTTTAAATGTTTTCCAGTATTTTATTGAGGTTAGAGCTATGAATCATACATTGAATTCGAGTGAGAGTCAATGTGCCGCCCCAACAATGATAGCTACACTAGGTAGATGTCTGTGTGTGTGTCGGTGTTTATGGAGCGTTTGATTCTGGGCCGAATGACGTTTGAAAGACTTCACGATGACACAACATAAAAGCTACCATTTGTGCAAACTCCTCATATTTCCTATTTGTTCATAAATAAATAAAAAGTAGGGTCCTATTTCCCTCCAGATCTGCGCCTCATTTAGGGCACCTTCTGTGCTTCGAGCACAGCTTCACGCCCACAGAGTTTAAAAACCTTATTCTGAAAGCCATTAAACGAGACGGGAAGGCGGGAGGGGGGGGGGTGCAGCTGCTGGCTTCGGGGTAGGGCAGTGAACAGCTGGTGCACAGCCCGCTCACGAAAACGTGAAAGTGAAGACCAAACGACGCATACAGCTCACCAAGACGCGTCAGACTGGAGGAGGTGCTTACTCGCTGATCTGAATCTCAAGTAGGGGCACATTTTTGAACCAATAAAAATTACTTAAGCTGAATCACTTCAGCGATATATCCATCCGTATAAAATGGATTGACTACAGT